TCAAATTTGGAACTAAAAAACTTTAATAAACTTGTATATAATTGAAATTGATTTAGAAATGAAAAGTAAAAAATCACAAAATTCTCAAAAATAAGAAACATAATATATAACATAAATTCATAAAATACAAAATTGTAATAATATTCTAATGAATAATAAACTTCTAATAACAATTTAGTTGTTCGATATTGAAAATAGAATGGAAACAAAAAATCTTAAAGTTTTAAAAAAAAATAAACCTCAAGTATAAAAATATTTTAAATATTTAATTAAAAATTCTATCACCGTTAAATTTATTTATTTAAAAAAAAAGAATATTCAACTATCTTTCCGATATGAAATTTTTTCATAAAAAGAAATTTGTTTTGAACCGAAGAACAAGATAATGTAGTCAATCGATGGAATCAATTTATTCCAAGAACGAGTTATCAGCCACAATGCTCGACAACAATTTCACACAGACACGAGTAATGATCTGCCCACGCGATTGCCTTCTAAAGAGAAGCAGAAAAACCATAGCCTTCTTAACTGCTTCACTGAATCCGGTATGTCACGTTCTTTTCTCTTTTTTTCTTCGATAAATAGCCTCTTGCGAGTCTCAGACATATCGTTCGAGCATTTTTTCACTGTGAAACACGCATAAAATCAAAGATGTATGCAACAACCTTTCCCTTGAATGTCTGACTAAAGAACACGTGATTGGTCCAGAACGAGATCCAGATGTTTCGTTGAATTGGTTGGATAAATCTTGGTTCATATGCAAGTGTCATTGGAATTTTAAAATGTTATTCTTGTAATCTTGATTGAATCTAAAAATAAATTTCAAATTTTTCTTGTTTAAAGATGAAATTTTTTTGAATTTATAGAGAATTAATGATGATAAAATTATTAATTATTTCAATTTATATTGATTTAAGAAAGGTTAAGAAACATTGTTCTAACCTATATTCAGTTTGTGTTCGTTGATCAATTTGTTCGATTGTGAAATTACTATTATATGTATATGCTAAATCATTGTTAGTCATCGCTATTTAAATTTGAAGTGCAGATACAATTGAGATTAAAAATCTTGAGAGTTCCTCTCGAGAGATATTTTTCGCTAATGATTACTATCCGTTACTATCGGACAGTCATTCTAGTCTCGAATTTTTAAAAGTTTTACTAATATATTTTTAATTAATATTTCAATAAAGTAACTTTTCCTGTTTAATTTTCAAAGGCAATTCTCGAGAGATTAATTTCTTCAAGTAAATACAGTCAAATGTATTCATACTCTCAAATGTATTCATATCTTCGATTATTAACCCAATAGATTATTATAAAAACATATCTTCGAAATGAACTTTCAAGAGTTTTATTTATATGTCAAAAGTATTCATTCATTTGATTATCAATCTGCTAAAATTATCATCATATTCTATTCTACTGTTATTTCAATATTTAATTCTTAAGAAACAATTCTCAAAAGTATTATTTTTAGGTTAGGTTACAAATTTCATAGTAGAACTCTTGAAATTTTTTCTCAAGTGAACATGATCATGATTATGATCATGATCTGAATGTTCAGCACATTTATAAAAAAAATAATTCTTAAACATATTCATATTCATAAATGTATAATAAAGCAAGAATACTACATTATAACAATAAAAAAAATATTCACTTACGAGAGAAGAGTGTATGCTTTAAGCATCTGCCGATACATCCTGGCATTGGTCACAATGTCATTGCCTCCGTCGAGTAGAGACCCTTGCCTGGTCGAGGACGAATTTCCGCCACGCTTGATCACCACCAATGCCAAGTCGAACCGATTCATCGAGTTCCATTTATCAACGGTGACCGCGGCCACTGCATTCTCGTAAATCTTTAAACGCGCTTCTCGCGACAATGTATGAATACTCGATTAACCGGATTCCTTTGTTACCGATCGCGATTGCCATTGATCAATTCTTGTAACTTTGTTATAGAATAGAAGTTTTGTTGAAATAATTTCACGAATGTTGAATAAAAGTTTTTCATTAATGCGTTTTATAAAATCTAAATATTTAAAAAGTACGTTTCTAATGAATTTTCTATAATTAATAAAAATAATTAATACAAATTATTATTAGATTTTATTAAAGCACAAAAATATTGAAAATTGTGAGTATTCTTAATTTTTTGGCTAGGTTAGAATATCATTATTTTAGAAAATTTTTTAGTAAAAAATATATTTAATTGTAAATGGAATTATTATATATAAGTTAATTATATATTCCATATAAATAATTTTTAACTTCTTGCTTTATAATTTCTGAGATATAAATTTTTTATAGGAGGTTAGGTTAAGTATGTAATAAAAATATAATATGTCATATAAATTTTAAAATTTATCGTGAATTTTATTTTATTTTATAAAAATAGCGGAAAATCTGATTTAAAATCTTATTTTTACTTTTTTTATTTTAATCAATTTGAACGAAATTAAAGTATTTTCTGGTGCAATATTTTTTGATTAAAAATTATTATATTATAAGACAAGGAGTTATAATATATAAAAAATGAAATTTTAAACAATTTTTTTTCTTTTTTTCAGTTTTAGAAATATTTGTAAAAAAAAGATTGCTATCACATATATTGTTATAATGCTGCTTATATTATATGATAAAGTTGCAATGCATTAATATAATTCAGAATCTCGTCCTTTATAATATATTTAAAAATCATCGAAATTGAAGAAAAGAAGATAGTTTTTCTGCAATTTTACTTTAATTTCAAATTAATTAGAAAATTAAAAAAAAAAAGAAAAAATGAAAAGCAAAAAATGTATATTAAAAATGATAATAAATTATGAAGAATCCTGAAACGTTTTCATATATTGCAGTTGAACGTGCATTAACTTAGAGGAACGGATGCCATCGAAATCATGACCGCGTACAAACCTATTTCGAGAAAGTTATACGATGTTCGTAGCGTGTCTTCGCATTTGGTTTATATACATGAACGTCTCGTTCATAGTAAACTTTACCTTGAACAAATTATAGGATAAAAATATTGCAATAGATCGATTTCTATGATCAATACATGAGAGGGATAATTGAAACCATTTTTGTTTACATTCGAGATGTGTCTAATGACTTTTTGATATTATAATCTCGTGTTAATGCTCTGTTTTTAGTTAAATCTTCTTATATAACATTTTTATTTTTTGAGATATGTTGATATTTGATGAGGTTGATATTTCAAGTTCTTTTATATTAGGTAAGTTATGTTAATTTTTAATATTTTAAAATGTTTTGTGTTTTTTAGAAATTTAAAATTAGATTTTTTTAAATAAAAATATTAAAAGTTTCGAATAATAGTTAGAATATTTTAATTAATTAAATTATAATTACTAAAATATTGCATTATTATATCAATTATATTGCATTATTAATCAAATTATATTTGATATTATATATATCAAAGAAATAATATCTAGAAAGAACTATATCTAGAAATTTGGAAGAATATTACATTATTAAATTAATAATTTAAATATTAATATTTAATACAACAAATTAAAAATTAATATTTTTTTCTTCCAAATTAAATTATATTTCTTTATAATAAACATTGAAATTTTGCATGATATAATTCTGTATAAGATTTTTTGCTGTTTTTTCAAAAAAATTTTAAATACTTCAATAATAATTCTCATGAATTTTAAAAAAGAAATATTTGATTGCAATCACAAATATAATCAATTCAAAGATTCCATCAAATCCATTTTATCAAGTTGATCAAAATATAAAATATAATTTTATAATCTAATTAATTACTGTAGTTTAATTTAAATTTAAATTATCATATTTTGCACTGTAGATCTTTATCTTTATATAATTCGTTAAAAAATTATATTATATGTATTCCTTGGATTAATTCTGGACGAAGGTCAAATCAATGAAAAAAAAAAAAAATGATTTAACACGTAACACGCTTTCAGAATAAATTTGAGGCGATATGCCTATCTTGTGTTATACAACATTCCTCTTTGTATATAACTTATAAAACGAATTGCATCAACTTATTGAGTAATTATTATTCTGTTTTGTTAAATTTGTTTTAATTTTTCGCAATTTTATTGTGAAAAAGAACTTTGCCAATTTTATCTTTTCTTAAAAGGTTTAAAACTTGTTATAAAAAATTGACAAGTAACATAACCTGTAAAATAACATTAATTTATTGGTTAGTCATTATCATTATCCTATTATTCATTGTATTTATTTTATTAATATATCAATTAATAATATAATCAATAATAAACAAATAATATGTCAATTTATATTATTCTTTTTAGAAAAGGTCCAAAATAATTGAAAATTCTGTGACGACCGACTAATTTCTTAATTTACCAGTTTCTTTATACATTATTCAAACGAAGTGGTTTCTCGTTCAACATTTTCGTCGCGAAATCTCGATAACACGGACGTTTATTGAATAACGATTTAAGAACAGGAATTAATGATTTAGTGAGTTTCGGATATATGGATATTTGTATTCATCAGGAGTAAAACATAAATGAAAATATTTTTGTCTTCGCATCTTTTAAATTTCTTTATTTAATATCGACATATTAATTATTTATCAAATTACAATGTTTGTTTGCACTGTTTGCAATTTTATTTTAAAAAATAACAATATCATCGCTAAAAAGAAATTCATTATAATATAAGATAACAAAGCCAATAAATAAATATTTATCAGGTGATATTAAAATGTTATTCTAAATTTTTCATTAGAAATTTTAAAAAAAACAAAATTAAGAAAACAAAATTAATATTATCTGTTTTTAAAGCATGAAAACACTAATATTTTTGCCACACATGTCACGTGAAATCTTTTCCACAATTTAATCAAGAGGAAAAGGTTTCCAATGGAACAAAAGGGGCGATTTTGTTGCCAAGAGACCCTCCCAATCTCCAACTCTTTGGAGTCAATATTCTAGCAATGCTTTATGTTCGTGTTTCCTCCTGTTTCAGCGCCAAACAGCCCACTCCATCTTAGCAACAGGGCTCACGTTTTGCTCCTGCTGAATAGACCTCAAGCCTCCCTCACGGATGCTGATCATGCTGTTAGGCTACGACCGGACTGGGGCAAGGTGAGAAACTCCTTTTTCCTGTATATATTATCGCGTTAGGATACCGTGTAACGAATAGTAATATATATAGTTTTACACGTTGTATACATGTACATATACATGTAGTTTTTATTTTGCATGAACGAAAAAATTTTAATCTTAATCTTAGTTAAATTTAATATATTTTTTTATCTATTATAAATTTTACTTTTGACTGTGTGTGAAGTGAAAAAATTTTTTTAATATTATTTTAACATAATAATAATTGTGATTTTATTTTATTAACGTATGAATATAATAATTGATTTTTAATTTTGAATTTTTTTTTATTTGTTATACAATTTTTAATCAAAATTTTTTAATACAATGGTGATTCTATGTTTTTGTCTTATTAATATGATTCTATGTCATTAATCTTAAAAAATTGAATTATTAGAAGTTATAATTGGAGTTAGAGAACAGATATCGAGTTATAAATTATTAATTTAATATTGTTAGTATAAAAAGTTTAAAAATTTATTTAAAAAAATGAAATATAAATGAAAACTAAGAAAAATTAAGAAATATTGTATAAAAATGATATTTAGAATATTATACATAAATTATTGGGAATAGAAAATCTTGCTTTCATAAAAATTTCATTCAATTGAATTTTTTCGTATGGAAACTATGATATAAGAAGCACCATGTGTTTTTTCCACTTGGCACGTTGTTCGATCACATGTTTGGCGACATGTATTGTCCCTCTATCCTTAACCCAATCCCAAACCAAATCCTCTCAAACCACGCGTAACATATTTCTTTCAACCTAAATAGGTTAGTTCAGATTTCTGATTCAAAACAAACTTATAAAGAACTTATAAAGAAACGTGACGAGTAAAATAAATTTTCTTCATGTTGTTAGTATAATAAATTTAATATAATGAATTTTCTTCGAGAATCAACATTAAAATTGTACAATTTATTAATATATAATTATAATAACGTATAATAAATTATATTTATAATAATATTTACAATTTCAATCAATATATTTTTTATTATTTCAAATCGATAAAATTTTTAATATTGAATCTAGAATCGAGCCGCAAAATTTAATTAAAATCACGAATAAAATTACTTTAACTTTTTAAAATGTTTGAATAACATTTATTCGTAGTTGAATAACATTTTTCTTCTAATCCAACTTGATCTAATTTTGAGTGTTTGAAGCTTTAAATAATAAATTATTCAAGTGATTTATTAGAATAACTGTTAAAATTTCTTTCATCTTTTATATATTAACAGGGTCATTACAGACGAGGGGTGGCTTTGTCCGCGCTAGGAAGACACGAGGAGGCACTGTTTGCTCTTTGCATTAGCGTCGCTATTGACAAGAATCCTCAAGCTGTGCGTCACGAATTAATCAAGGTATGTCGATTTTTTACGTCAATTTAAATGTTATTTATTATTATTGTATGAACAATGTTCATCTTTCGCGATTACTCCCCATAAAAATCTGTGATTCTTTGATATATATATATATATACATTTATATTAGAGAAAAATATTGAATAAATATAAGATCATTTTTGACTAATATTTTATGATTTTGTTTAAGCGCAAATTTCGTAAATTTGAATATTAAATTTAAAATTCTTTTTTTAATTTTTCAAAGATATTAAATTTACTTTGAATCTTTTTTATGTTTTTTAAAGTAAGACTATAAATGGTTAGAATTATAAAAATTAAATGCTAGAAAAATTACAATATCATAAATCATTAATTTTTACATAAAAATTTTTGTTCTTAAATAAAACATGTTTCTTTTCCAATTATCTGTATATCTTTATCAAATCCCAAAAGGAAGAAAAATAAAAAACAGAGAATCATGACTCTACAGAAACTTGACACTTTTGAATAATATCCACTTTCCACACACACATTTCTCTTCCAATTATCCCATCTCTCGTGTTTTTGATACACAATCATTCTCAAGCTTCCAAAAAAAATAGAATCATGATTTCTCAAAAACTTGATGTCCTTAAATAATATCCATTTTCCATAATACATTTTTCTTCAATTATCTTTCGCATTTCTCATAATGCATAATCCTGAAATCCTAAAAAAAAAAAAAAGAAAAATAAAGAAAAAAATGAGCACGATTACAATAGTTGGCACGAAAATAAAAGATCTCGAGAAAAAGAAATTGTCACGCGACGAACAGAGCGAAACAAGCATATATCTCCTCGCGGGTATAGTTATCATTGCCCTGGGGACAGGTCACTCACCTGGCTATCATATACCGAGTCATTAAGCTACACCACTTCAGACCATACCGGAAATGCTGTCAAGCACACACATTCATTTCTTTTCTGCCTACTACGTTCTCGTGACTCCATCGCTAGTATCTTGATCTTTCACTATACCATGCATTTCAACCATATTAAAATGAGAATAAATGCTCTAGGATTCCTTTCAAAGAGGATTTCATTCCGTAAAAGAAAGAATTGTATACGTGCATCCAGTCATTGACTCTTGAAAATATGATGATGGTTGTGAAAGTAATCAAAGTTGAAATAAAGCAACGAATATTTGAAATATAATTAGAATATTCAGTTGTTTTAAATATTTTATATTTATCTTTGCATTTATGAACATAATACTTAATTCAATACTCATGTAAAATAAATTGTACGTGGAATCTTAAATATTTATATATATTGAATTTTCTATTATCTAAAATTTTTATATTTATCTTATTATGAATTATAAGACAATTATATATGAATCCAATCATTGATTCTTGAAAATATGATGATTATGAGAAAATCAAAATTAAAAATAAAGTAACAAATATTTAAAATGTAATTAGATTGTTTTAATTTTTAATATTTATATCTTATCTGTATTTATATAACTTGTATAGAATTTATTTAATATTTAAATAGTTATATATTTATGTAGGATTTAATTATAATTAATTTGAGTGTATATATTGAATATTTATTGGCTAATATTTAACTTGATGGTAAGAGAATTATATATATTCAGTTGTTAATTCTTTTAGATATGATAATGGTAAGGATTTGTCAGAATTGAAATATTTTTATTGAAATATTAAATTTAAATATTTGTTAATTTGTATTTGTTAAATTAAAAAATGTTTTAGATTATTTTATTATTTTTATTTATCAAGTAATGTGAGAAAAATAGTTTTATTTTGAATGACACAAGTTACTAGCAAATTATTAATTATTTATGTCTTTGTATTTATATAAGATTTAATTATAGTTATATATCTGTATTAAATTTTTTATTTTTATTTAATTTCATTATAAAATAAGATTTAGATGTAATTAAAAAATTAATATATATTAAAAAGATTATATATAAGACATAATTATTATCATCACCAAAATTTAATATATAAAAATCATACTTACCAATATCATAGGTCACGATCAAACAAATTTGTAAACATATTAAAAATTTATCATTTCCAGAAAAAATGGAAAAAGAAAAAAATCAACAACTAATTCAAATTATCATAATTATCTTTTAGATTTTAATAATTATCTAATGAATTTCAACAATGTCGTGTTTTTTTCTACCAAAGAATTGTCTACTATAGATGTGAAAACGAATAATCTAAATATATAAATATTCCACGAATTGACATTCATGAATATCTCAAATCATTAGGTCTGTTCGTACAATTCAATTCTTTATTGTATAATAAATTCGCGAGCTATTCTTACATATTTCAAAAAAAGAAAAAAAAAAAAAAAAGAAAAGAAAAAAAGATGTGAGATCCAAGACCAAAAAAAGCAAATTTATTTCCTTGTTGACCTCACAGATGCCGCATCAGTCGATGATCGTTTGTTTCAATAAGCCTCTATCTTCAGGTGAGTGACCCAAGGCTAGTCCACATTGAAAGCAAGGCCAGTGGTAATCACGTGCAACTCGATATGTTTGAATCGAATTCGTTATACGAATCGTGGTTATAATTTCTCTTCATATTCTTCAGATTTTTCTATATATATTGTTTCTCGTTTGGATTTTTTTTGGATTAATTTTTTTTGAATATTACTTATTTGTTTTCATTATAAATATACAAAGTGTCTCATTTAATTGTGATTTCGATTTTCTCTAATGTTATTCGTAATGTTATTCGGAAAATGTTTCAGATAAAATGAAAAGAAAATTATTTGTTATTAATTTTTTCGTTTCATAAAAGGCAACTTTTTTTTTAAATGAAATTATATGCTTTTTAATGTATCAATCGATACAATTCGATCTAATTTCTTCATCTAAAAAAATATCAATTCATGTATATTCAAAAATTATTAGTTTCAATAGATCTTTTAAATTTTGTAAAATTTAATGATAACTAAGATGTTTTTTTATATACAAATATATATAATTATAAATTAGATAAAAGATAAAATATTAAAAAATATATATTTATTGGAATAATAAAATTTATATAATATTGAAAATTTCAATGAAATTAAGCGTTACCTTATTTACTATACTAGTAAATAAAATATAAAAAAAAAGTCGTGCTTCAAAAAAATATTAGAAAACAGTGTTTTAAAATTATAAAATCTTCCATATAGATTTTCTATGATAAACTACCGACAATGATCGATCGAAAAATAAATCGAGATTAGCGACATTGCCAGAAAAGATTTGTAATTAGAAATTACAAGTTAGGATTCATTGAGCAAGAAAGACGAATTCAATTTCGAATATTCATTATATAACATGAAGACTGGTAGAATCATTGACGCAAACTGCACTGCTACACTTATGTAAGATTCGAGGAATCACTTGAATACTATTCTACACGCGTCTAGAATTCGAATCTAAGGGCAAATATCGCAAAGCCCTCTACTACTTTTTTCAAACGAAAATAGTTCCTCCATTGGAATCCGGCTTAACTTTCATGAAGTTGCACAAAATCTTTATCAATTTTATTGTGTTATATTATTTTTCTTTTTATATTTTTTTTTATTTTTTTTCTTCTATTTTGTAATGAAAAGCAAATATTGTAAATTTTCTTTGATATATTAAATTTAAAATTTTTTTCTTATTTATCTTATTATCAATGTTGTGTAGACATTATTTAAAATTGTTAACGAAATTAGTTTTATTTTTAGTACTATTTTTATCTTAATTAATCATCTTATGCAGATCATTTGATTCGTAAAATTATTGAAACTACGACTCGCATATCAATATTATTTTCTGTTATATAAGCCATGTATATTTTTTTTATTTTAATTAAAAGTTACTTATTAATGGACTGAATTAACGATTGCAAATTTTTTTTGAAACAAGTTTTATGTATGGTATTATGCAACCATGTTTTTCTGAAAACATGACTTATAATGAAGTATAAGAAGAAATATGGTGTTGTTTAAAAAAAAAAAAAAAAAAAAAGTCAAGATTAAATGAAAAATTCTTGAAATTGGAGAAAAGTAAAGGAAAAATATATTTCTCAATTTTAAATTGGAATTGATAAATTATTTCCATCAAATCTATGATTGAGAAAATTACGATTTTTTTTAATTTATTAAATTTAAAATTTTTTTCTTGTTATTTATCTATTTCTATCTAATTTTTTCTTGTTATTTAATGTTGTGTAGATATTATTTAAAATTATTAACGAAAAAAAAATTAGTTTTATTTTTATTACTATTTTTATCTTAATTAATTATCTCTGAAATTTATATTAAATTTGTAATAAATCAGTAAATAATGTTAAAAAAAAAGAAAACCAATAAAATTAAATTTATCTAAATTCTTCTTTTGATATTTTGTAATTAATAACTAATTTCAATTGTAGATTATTGCACATATAAATAATAAACGAGTATATAAATCAACTTTTTCTATAAGAATCGATGAAAAAAAAAAATCGATTCTCAGCCTCGAATAATAAAAATTCTTGTAGAAATTTATTTTTAAAGAAGTCATAATGAAAACGAATCGTGCGATAAGAAATTTTTCGAAGAAGAACAAATTGAAATTGAATCTCAAATAAAAATTTGAAAAATTTATTCAGAAATCGTCTTAAAAATTTTTTTCAAAAAAATATAGGAGTTATCTTTTGAAAAAAATCAAAATTTTATTCCACGAATTGTATTATCGAAATAATATTTTCCATTAAAAAAAAAAAAAAAAAAAAAAGAAAAAAAAAGAAAAAAGAAAAATCGTAAGGAATATTAAATTTTTGAAATATTATTGATGTTTCATCGTACTTGAACTTAAATTTGCGCTTAAACGAAATATACATAACATTTAACTGCCTTATAAATTAAGTATGAAGAGGTAATCACGCTCGATACGTTATTGCTGCGCAATTGATGTACATTGTTCGTACTTATAAGTTACCATTGATAATTATAGAACTGTTATTATATAATAGCCATTCTAGAAGTCGAAGTATTGTCATTTACATCGAGAAATTCTCACGTTCTATTATCACTTCGAGTGTAAACAAAATTTATCGTATACCCTAGTTACGATTCGCCAGAAAACGATATCCGTTGCTTCTCAAACGATCGTCAAATTAATTAAATCGAATCAATTAAAATCATCGATTTATTATAAAATCAATTAAAAATCATGATTTCGAACGGCTTATTGTTTCGAATATAATTCGAAGTGATGAGTAAATAAACGAGTAAAAAAAAATAGTAACAATGAACGAGGATCAATATACAAAATATACAAAAATATACAAAATGTAAAATTTAATGATATATATATATATATTTTTTTTTGCTTATTTATGATAACGATCAGGATTATTAAATATTTCTCTAGGCCAATATCTATGCGATGAAGGAGAATTTGAAGGCATTTATAACTGTCAACTGTTAATTAAAACTCGTGATCAACTTGTTATTTCTGTTTGTCTTTTATTGTTAGTAATTGTTATAATTTATAAAATGTATGATTAAACATAGATTATTATCGTGATATAACATTTCAATGATGGCTATTAGAGAAGCTATTTTACTAAGATTAAAATTCTTTAAAATTTTATTCTAATTTTTTTTTTTTAGTATTTTTTTTGGAAAAGAAAGGAGAGAAATAAGAATTTGAGTTTCAAGAAGTTTCATAAAAGTTTCGAGTTTCAATCCGTCTCTAATTTTTAACAATATATAAAAATTTGTACAGATTATTACGAACACCCTGTATATGTTTGGAAAACTTTCAAAACTTAAAGTTTCAAATTCAAGCGGTTTCGATCCATCCGTATCTTTTATCAAAAACTATTTCTCGTAATTTCTCGTAGAATGTTATCGCAGATTATTAACGAATATCTTATACATATTTTCCAAAGTTTCGAAACTTTCAGATTTAAATTTTAGATTTCGACATTCTATTCATCTTCAATTCTTATCAAAGATTATTTCTTTTTAAATATCATGAGTACACAAAAAAAATCGCAAAGATTATTTAATAGATACTCTATAGAAACTTCATTTTCAGATTCAAGTTTCAGATTATTTAATTCTTACCAAACACTATTTCTCTCCAAATATATTTACGATTATATAAAAATTTGCATAGATTATTAACGAACATCCTATATACAATTTAAAAAATTTCGAGTATTAATCAAAAGTTTCGAATTAATTTTTACCAAAAAAAGCTATTTCTTCTTAAATATGTAAATAGGTAAATAAATAAAAAATTTCACAAATTATTAACAAAGATTAACAAATTATTAAAAAGATTCAATATATACTCTCGAAAGTTTCGACAAATTAATAAAAAAAAATTATTTCTTCTCAAATAAATAAAAAATTATTACAAATTATTAACGAACACCCTATATATATAAGTCACTTATCCAATTTGTAATCGAAACGCAATTGACATTGGCGCGTAATTTTTCGAAATGAACACGAGTTCCATTTGTATCGTAGAAACAGAATTTCTCTATTATGCAAATCCAATGATCCGTGGATCCTTGGACAACAATTAACGAACGAATTTATTGTTCCAAATCACATTACAATTACAAAAGATGTTGTTTGCTATTGTCTCCAGGTGCTGCACAAAGTGTTGTCATCAGGACATCGTCGATATAGCCTCCTTCCATCACGTGCCCCTTACAATCTGACAGAGGGCGCGTCGCGCACCAGAAGTCGCCACCAGTTGATTAATCCCAAGAGAAACCGGAGGGCGGCGTTCAATGCCTCCGACTGCGAGGACAACAGCAGTGGTGGCGAAGAGGAATTCACTCAGGTAAGAATTTTCTTTCTTTCTTCACTTATTTTAAATCACTTTGTGAAATACTACTATGTGAATTTATATTTAATGCTTCAAATTTAAATCTTTCACTCAAGTAAGAATTTTTTTCTTTTTTAGGTATTTTGAATTATTTTGTGAATATACGAAATGTATAGTGAATTTATATTTGATTCTTTAAATTTAAATTTTGTGATTTTGGAAAATTGATAATGTGTCTTTCTGTTCATTTCTTCCAAAGAAATAAAAAATATAATCCTCCAAATGAAAATATGAAAAATTGTGATTTTGAGAGAATTTGTATGAATATCATAGATGGAACTCATCAGTGGAATTCAAATCAAATTTAGTAATATTGGAGTTTAAATCAAAATATGTTATTTGTGATTCTTAGAATAAAAATATGTTGAAAATATAATACTCAATATAAAAATCATAATGGAAATATAGAGAATATAAAATTCATAATGGAATCTTGAATTGAAAAATTGAAAAAATTTTCTCGTTTTAAGAATTTAATAATACTGGAATTTAACTCAAAATATGTTGTAATAGAAATTATAGTGGAAACCAAATGTAGAGAATATAGAACTCAATGTATATAATGGAATTTAAATTAAAATTTTGTGATTTTGAGAATATGAAAAAAAAATATAAATAAATTCTTATACTGAAGTGATTTTAGGATTTGATAATATGTTAAAAATATATTAAATTCATATTAAATTTTAAATTAAAATTGCAAGAATGTACTCATGCTGGATATCAAATCAAAATAATACTTGACTTTTTAATTTTGAAGATGTATCAATTTTATTGGATGATTGTAAGATATCTGTAATTATAATATTTTTTGAGTCATGATTTTTTTTTAAAACAAGTTAAATAATTATGAATTTTAACTTTGACAAATTCTAATTCTAATTCTAATTCTAAGTTAATATTAAACAAATTTAATAGCAAAACAAATTGTTTTAATTAGTGTTTTTAATATTAGAGATGAATATTCTTGTACAATAGACTAACATATAGACTAATATTAGATAGACTAATAATATTAAATAATATTAATAGATAATATATGGATTAATATTTCTAATATTTGAATATAAAATTTTAATATCTATATAGATAGACATTTTGAAGATTTTGTAAAAATTATATAACCATAAAATAAAACGAGTAATATAATAGATAAGAAAATACGTAATAACTCGTAATAGAAACTTGAGGGAAAAAAAGTTTAAAATTTTTTAGAAACTGCTTACAAGAAGAATATTTAAAATTTGATATTTTATTAACGCTCTATGATTACATACAAAAAATGACGTAATATTATGATAATTATCGAAAAATGCTTATAAATTATCAAATTTAACAAGAAATTAATCAATTGTAAATTCGAATTATCTTATAGTAAAAATGTTTAAAAATTACAATTATTACTATTTTATTTTTTTGTTCTGCATATGTGTTAATGCGATTTACATTTTTTTAAAATAAAACAAGAAATCCAAATCCAAATGAAAAAATGAAAAAGAAAAAAATATGAATGGATAATTAACTCGAATTGCACAATAATTTTATTCTCCATTCGAAAAGATTGTTCGTTTACGTAACATGTTTTAGACATTACATTCCTTTTAATACAGAGTAGTTATACTTATACACCGTGATAACTGAATAACCATTTTAAAAGTGATATCATCATTCAGGTACAATTTCATGCTGACTTCGATGCTACTGCAATTAATTTATCAAATCACTTCATTCTCCTCTTGTTACATATATATTCATCACTTGTAAAATTCTGATCAATCGTCTTCTCATGGACATTAAGGATAAACAAAAGAATGTGATATAATTAAAAAAAAAAAAAAAAGAAAAAGAAAGATAATTTAATTACTCAAAATTCTTCATCTTCAATTTTCCAATAATGATTTTTTCAATTTTGAATTTTCCAATTATCATAAGATAAATTATTCGAAATTCTTGATTTCTGATTTTTCAATGATATAATTAAAAAAAAAAAAGAAAAAAGAATTGATTACAATTTTTCCAAATTACGAATTTTCCAACAAATAATTTAATTTATTTCTCAAAATTGATCTCTAATTTAATTCCTCCTTCTTTTATTTAAAGTGATTTTAAATTGTCGACCAATTAATTACAAGCGAACAATCAACTTAATCGCACGAACGAACAAAGTAAATATCAAAGAACGAAGTACTTAATCACCATTTAATCTCAGAAAAGAACAATTACAATTGTTTAATTCAACACGCATTTTCTTTTTCTTTTTCAAATGACACGACACGAACAATCATATCACAGATTATACTCTTCAGTTGTTTTGATCAAGTCACTTTTTTGTTTTGTTTTCAGAAGATTACTGTACTTGCCCGTTTCTAAGTCACGTATATAATGTATAATACGCGCGGAGGGAAGCATGTGATTAAAGATCAATTTGCAATTATTATAGATCAATAGAAATACGGATATATCGAAGGTATAATAAGCAGCTAGTTGATTGGAATTTATATAAATCCGACGTTTCAATTATCTATCAATCTTGCGGCCAGAATAATAAGTTCGTTAACCAATAATCGCATGTCATGTTTAATTACAAATCAGAGTCTCGAATTTTCTCTTTCTATTGTTCTTATTTTTAAACTCCTATCTATCTTATTTCTTTTTTAATACTTTTGGATACGTATTTTGTAATTTAATAGGAGAATTGAATAGAAGATGAAATAAGTTAGGTTAGATTAGTCAGATAAGCAATAATATATTTAATTACAAATCTTTTTGCTTTCTATTAGTTTTATTTTTAGACTTTGAAATTTTATTTTATTTCTCTTTTAATATGTTTGAATTATAGAATTAATATTATATACATTTTGGACAAGTATTTTATAATATATACTTAATAGAGAAATGAATATAGAGTGAAGGTAAGATAAGGTTAAATTTGATATGATAACTATAAGTTAAATAATAGAAATTTTATTATCCTTTAATATAATAATATAAATCTTAATTATCCTTTAATATGTTTGGATATGTATTTTATAATGACTTAATAGACAATTAAAAGAGAGTAATAGTTAGCTAACCAATAATCCTTATATGATTACAAATCATTTGGTTGTGTTTATAATATATATAAAATTCTTTAATTTTATTTTTATATTAAAATTATTAAAAACCGATATACAAATAAATAATAAGAAAAATTATTAAAAATATCAAACATTAAATTACACTAAAATTTAATTATTTATAGTAAGAAATTAATTTATTATTTATAAGAAAAGTATATTTATGTAATATATTTATAAATAAAAAAATATAGATTTATAAATATATTTATATAATAAGAAAGTGTAAGAAAAATTATTAAAAAAGTGAAGAACCAAATTGAAAATTAAAATTTATTATTTTTATAAAAAATATATATAATAACAAAAATATAAATTTTTATATTATTAGATGAACAATTAAAGAATAATCGAAATCTTCGATTGTAAACGCGAACGATAATGTAATTGCAATGATGAGATGGAAAAGAAGCGAAACGAAATATCGAAGAATTAGGTTTCAAACAGATTTTATGGTTGCGTAACTGGTAATCCATTAAACGTTACGCAATAACTTCAGGTCGTCTCGAATAAAGATGAATTGTATTTCAAAGAAAGGATCCCTCTAATCGTGTCAATCCTAATAATTTTAGATTAAAGTTCGCGTTTAATCCAATTATGCTTGTTGATTCATTGCAGACTGTTAGCAGAAGGCTCCTGTCAACCACAGCCCCACAAAACAACGTGAAGCTCCAGGCTGGCCTAGATCGTCTCTACCAAGACATTGAAAAGCTGAAAAGTAAGTTGAAAAAATTAAAAAATTGCAATCTGTATTACAATATAACATAAATTTAAATTTGAAATTTTTTTTTGAATATTATACAATAATATAAATAAAAATAAATAAAAATAATTAAAGTGAAAAATAGTATATAAATAGTAATAGTATATATATAGAAATATTTATTTATGGATACCTTTATATATATGAATAATATTATTAGTTAGTGAATATGATTTAATGCAAATAATAATATTATTCATTTAACGATATCCATTAAATAGAAATGGATAAAAAACATCTATTGAGAAGTAAAAAATATAATTTATATTATTTATTATTATTATACAATAATATTTATTGCAAATAAACAAAAGTGGATTTAAACATTCCTTTTAATAATTTTATAATAATCGTTTTATTATTAATTTATATACTCAATGTTTGATAGATTATATAATATTTTATGTTGAATCAAATATTTGAATTTTTTTTTTGCAAATGTACTTTCTTAAATATGTTTCTTATAAGAATTCAATTCCAACCTGAAAAGGTTACCCGATTAAATTTTATCTGACATTTAGTATTAATAACCACGTTGCACCATGATATGCGAGGCTGAATACGTGCCATTGATAAACAAATCGACGAAGCTACTTAAAAGTAAAGTTCATTCAATATTCTCGTGCAACACGAGAGAAATCTCTTTCATTTAATTTCTGCTGATCTTATTAATTAATAACGTTTTCAGTTTCTTATTCACTATAAATCAAATTAATTTTTATTGTGTCTATCCAATTGAACATTCAAAGATGCATTTATCTCTAAATTTGTCTTATTGTTAATTCTTTCGAATTTTTAGAATTCGACTTTTTCTAATTAATTAGTAGAAAAATCTTTCGTTTTCATCTGATTTCTAAATTTCTCTTTTTTATTTATCAAACGAGAGAAATGAGTGAAATATAGGTTAAGTAAATCTTTCGTTTTTAATTTCTAAATTTTTCTTAATTTATAAAATTATTTCAATTATTTTGGAATCATATTTCTAAAATTGTTTCAATATTATTCTAAAATTTAAAATTATGTAATATAGTTAATATTATTGAGTTGTAAATACATATTGCAATGATTTTTGTTATTGTTACTTTTCATAGGACTCGAAACAAGATCCGCCGAGATTCTCCTTCCGCCTCTTTCCGGTGGTACAGCCGGTGAATTGGACTGCATCTTGTGTTGTCGACTCTTATGGAAACCCGTAACAACTCCATGCGGACATACGTATTGTTGGATGTGTTTGGATCGCTGCTTGGATTATTCCTCGGCCTGTCCTTTATGCGTCACTTCACTTGCCGATGTAAGTAAATATATCTAATAATAAGTAATAATAATAATAATAATAAGTAATAATATATCTAAAAATAATGAATTAAATATTTTTTAAAAATTTTTATTTGAAGAATGGACAATGTGTATTTTAATGTTAATTCGTTATTATTTTACAATCAATATGACGGCCGATGATGCGATAGTAACGCCACTAACGTGATTATTAAATACTAATGTCCTAATATGTTTTTACTTTTTCACATTTCAAATATTCAAATTTTTAAAGCTTTAATTATAATATCGAATAATAAAATAAAAATTGAATAAAGATTATATAATAAAAAATATTAGTAGATAAAATAATCGACAACAAAAAATATATATTTCTGCATAACGAAACTTTTAATTATCGTGATAAAATAGTTAATTCTAATATATGTATACATGTAATCGGTTAATAAGACGAGAAGTTAATTTTGAACTACAATATTTCGTGGAAGAAGAGAGAACACCTGCCCATAAATGAGATATAATGTTTCTTAGCGGTTAATGATGCAGCAGATTGAAATGATTATTGTTTGTGGTCGCTATGGCTGCTCCGTTAGGAGCTTCCGCGTTCGTGCTTTGTCATTACCAATTGTCTCTGCGAGCATCATCGTTAATCACGTTAAATAAATTTTGCGGCTTGCAATCCCGTATCTTTCACGTAACCCTTCCTCGTATCGTGTTACATTATTATGCAACGCTTTGTGACCGTTACTCTCGTGCAATCCTGTTTTTCTCCTTTTCCTTCCTTCTAATCTTTCTTTCATCTTTACCATCTATAGTTAAAAGTTGATAAATTTAATTCCTTTTCAAGAAGGAAATTTTAAACAAACTATTCTTATTAATTTTAAGAAAAGAAAAACACTATGAATGTGTCTTAATTTTCAATATATAATATTATTATTGTATTGTTGCGTTGTAATATAATAAATATATTGTGCTTCTTTATTGGACATCTATAATTTTCTAATTTAATGAATTATAATTTTTTAGAGATACATGTTAAGTATAGAATATAATGCTTTTTTGTAAAGATAAATTTGTTAGTTATTATTAATAATAATATAATTTCTTATATATTCATACATAAGGATAATAATGTTTTTAACAATTTCAAACTTTAACTATGATTATAATATTAAACATACTTCTATGCATACTTCTTTAAAACGTTCAATTACATTATGTAATGATAATATAATTTTTTATATATTTTCAAATATAAATATACACCAATCTTTCCAACATCAAACTCCTTATTTCAACCAATTACAAAATCAAACATATTTCTATATTACATTTCTTTTCAACTTTCAATTGCATTATTAACGATATTATAATCTTTCATATATTTTCAAACACAGAAACATCAAACGTTTCCTCAAACTTTAATTATGTACAAATTTGAATATACTCTTATATAAGACTCATTTGAAGTAATTTGATTGCGTTACTAACGACGATCTAATCTCTTATATATTCTTAAATAGCAAGCAAAAATAATGTCTTTAACAATTTCAAATTTACTTCAATCACTTACACATATTTCCTTTCAACTGCAATACTAATATCAATTCCAACCTTTTACATATTCTCAAACACAAACATATCAATATTTCCAACAATTCTAAATTTTAATCAATCAAACATATTATTCTCTCAATTATTATCTATTCTCTTAAAATATTCAATTACATTACTAACGACGATTTCTCAAAATAGATAATTTCGAAAAGCTTCAATAGATGAAAGTAGAATTTTGCGAGAAATTGTGAAAATGTCACGAATCCTTGGCAGGAGAAGGGAACCTCTCGAAAAGGACGACGAAGCTTCTGCTCGGCTTAGCGAAATATCGTTTTTTTTTTTTTCCAGTATCTGGCCAGCAGCCAGAAGACAGTGACGGATTTCATAGAGAGGGCTTTGAAAACGGTTGCACCCGTGGAATACGCCTCGAGGGCAGCCAGCCACCGACTAGAGCTCGTCCAAGGACTTGGCCTTCTGGGTAGTGAGCAGATCGCTGTTTTCGTTTGCACCACAGCATTTCCATGTGTCGCATGTCCGTTGTTCGTGTACGAGCCGAGATACAGGTTGATGGTGAGGAGATGCGTGGAGAGCGGTGTCCGCCAGTTTGGTATCGCTGCATGTATTAACCGAGAGGCTACAGGGACCAGAAGGTAATTTTTCTTTGAAATTTTAGTTTGAAGTTTGTTTATGGGAATATACAATTATTAAGACAGATTAATAAATATAATTGAAAAATGTATTATTTATATAAGAAATAGTGCTAGGTTTTTTTAGTAAATTGATTCAATAGTTTTTGAATAATTGTCACAATCATCTTTGAAATTTAAATATGAGAAAATTCATTTAAAAGTTAATTTTGTTTTTATATTCAAATAAAACGTATGTAAAATTTATTTATATAATATGAATTGTATGAATATTTATATGTAAAGAAATTATTTATTATAGATAAATTTATAAAATGTTAGATACAATAATAATTATACTTTTTTAAAGAAAATATAGGATTAATGTTTTATAGTATATATCTATTAATAGAATCTTTATAATTTCATTTACATGGACTTACATAAATAATTTGTGACAAGGTTAAGTTAAATTAGGATCGTTAATGTTTTAATCTTTATAGATATATGTCTCTCTTTTGAATAGAATTTGTAAAGCTTTATTTACATAAATCTATTAAGAATTAAGTAATTCGTGAATCATATAATAGGAATTCTTTAATTTTTTTCTAATTTTTTTGTATAAATAACTAAAATCATATATTTAAATAAATTACATAGTGTGTTAATTTATTTTGTTCATACAGAATTCGCATAATTGGTTATTGATGAAAATTTCAGCAAATGAAATATTGTGACCATGAAATATGCTAGTTGATGTAATATGCTAGCCTGATTGTTATGAAATCTTTAAATGTTTTTTGTCAACTTTCGATATTTCCATATTTTATTATATTTTATTCATCAATATTTATATTTTTAATTATAATGACATTCATCCATTATAATTTATTGTGTCTAAAATAGTATATTTGAAATTAAAATAAAGATTAAAAAAGTATTTAAAATTCTAATAGATTGTATATTTCATCCTAGATATTTAATTCCAAAATATTATTCTTAATAATAAATCATCATCTGCAGACTATTATAAAATATTCTATTATATTATATCACACAATATTTCTTCTTAAAGAGAGAGAAAAAAAAGAAAAAAAAATTGTTTTTCGTTCGAAACAATTTAAAATTTATGTTTTCATTAACGAAGATGTTGAAATTATTCGATCGTGAATCATCGTCTGTGTATTTCGTACGAAGACAATAATTTATAACGACCGCTAATGCTCTCGAAATATCTTTCCACATTCCTAAATGTTAAAAAATTCAGTTTTAGTAACGATTTCTGGAATAATCATTTAAATTAAAAAAAAATAATAAGATATTGTTAAATAAAAAAGGAAAAGAGAAAAACAAAAATAAAATTATTCAATATTTTTGTTTATACTAGATATGCGGAATATGGAACCATGCTTGAGATTCGAGATAGAGTGTTGCTAAAAGATGGCTGCAGCATTTTGAGTACAGTTGGTGGAAGAAGATTCAGAGTTCTCTCTGGAGGGGAAAAGGATGGTTATGATACAGCTCAAGTAGAGTTCCTCAGGGATACGATGGTTCAGGATGATCAACTGTTGAATCTTCTAGAGTTGCACGACAAGGTAAGATGTCAATGATATTTAAATATTATATACTTTGTATTCATTGATAAGATATTTCGATGAGATATAGCGACGCACTTTCATTTGTATGATGCTTTGGATATAAAACACATAATGGCACAATATTATTTATACGATGCTATTGACAAAATATCTCGTGTGTTTTTTTTTCTTTTATTAATCTTAACTTCTTCTATACGATTGTCGATTTTAGTCGATAGCCATCGAATGAGTACACTGCACATCATGCAATATACATGATTGATAATCGACTTTTCGATCGATCGACTTTATGACTAATTGACTTCAGCATGCAATGTTTAGTATACTTGCGCAGCGCAGCAGAATCGAAGAGGTTAGAAAATGAAATCTTGATAAATTCGTGTAATTTTTAAATTTGCTAATGATAATTTAAAGTTTGTTATACTTTCAAAAACAAATCTATATTTTTATGTGAAATAATATTTAATTACTGTAAATATACATACGATTATTAGAAATTAAAAATTTGAAATTTTTGGAAATTGCATTGCAAGATATTTCGTCGTTTGTGATCAAACTTTTAATTAATTGTTATTTGTGTTATTATCAATGTTAAAATATAATATGTTTATTAGTAAATTAACGATCTTCATCATGTGATGCTTGTTTAAATTTTACATTTTGCAATTTTTGCCTAAAATTATTATTACTTTTTCTCCTATCTTTTTTTTTAATTTACCATCGATTAATTATACAAATTTCGCATGAATATTACTATTTCTAAATAAGGATTCTCTCTTCTTAAATCTTTTTACTATCAATCATTTATTCACACCGCTCGACTAAATTTTATATTTTATAATCTTTCATATTATTCCTTTACCAATTCACCAATTGCACAAATACACGATAAAAATTACTATTCCCAGGTAAGGACGAAAGGCAGAAGATGGTGGGATACGGTATCGTTATCTCAGCAATTGGAAATCCAGCGAGTATTCGGTCGAATGCCAGACACGGAGGAGGATTGGCCACGTTTACCTGATGGCCCATCGTGGACATGGTGGTTATTAGCTATATTGCCGCTTGGCCCACAGTTGCAAGTGGGAATTGTGGGCACCACAAGCCTAGAGAAGAGATTAAGAGCCATTGAGAAGACTCTGGATCACATGGAGCAGAGGCAATTGACCGTGGCTCCTGCCACTTCCGAGGAAACGACTACTTCCTCCAGTATATGCCGTGACGAAGGTGGTTTAACGGATACCACGGTCTCGTTGGTCCAGTAAAAGAAGAAACAAAGAAGAAATATAGAAGAACGAGAATATCCTTTAGAGGATATACGTTTAGATTTTGATTTCGCTACGAGATGGCGATTCGATGGGGATTTCATTCGATGTACAAAGTACTTGGAGAATAGCTTATCGAAGATTAACTACTTTTTACTCGATATTTAATATAAACGCAATTATATCCGAAAGTGAGGCGAGGGATATTTGTAGCCCGGTTCATCCATTTTTCTCCGTATATTTAACTTAACCGTTAGTTACGTTTTAATTCGAGTACCGAAATTTCTATTTCTCTCTTTATTGGTACTCGTTAAACTTACCACACCCGATCGCCTTATTGACGGAACGATAATGGTGCGATAATTAGCATTTAATAATTTTGAGCGTCGAGATTGATTCTAAGCGAATTATAATATATTACATATACAGCAATATTACATTGTATCGTTACAAAATTAATCAATATTGATCGATCGTTTTATATTCAAAAATGGAGAGATTTGTTTAGAATATTAACTTGAGATTGACGAAAAATTTTAACCGATCACCAATGAATCGATCAAAAGAAGTGAACAGTTGATTTTCAACAATGAACTATAATATATAGCAATATTACTATTTATTGTAAAATTAATATATATATATATATATCGATCGAGTATCAAATATATATATTTTATATTCGAAATTTATTGAATATCGAAAATTATAAACCAAACATCGATGAATCGAAAAACTAGACGACCGATTTTTAGGTGAATTATAAGAGATATACGTATAATATAATATTATTGTATACTTGTACCGTTAAACAAAATTGACTTAATATAAATCGATCGATCGTCAAACTGTACATTTTATATTCGAAAAATATTTATGTTTAGGAACTTATTGATGTTGAAATCGATGAATTCGACCAAAAGAAGTAAACGATAGAGCAACATATCGAAGTAATAAAAAAATGCGGATATCGTTTACCTCGGTAAGGCGTGACGGTATTATTCGCGCTATTGCAATATGCAAATCTGTTCTTCCAGATAATATTATATATATGTATCTATATGTATACACATTTATGTATACACGTATATGAGCATATTATACGTTGCAATCAGAGGTACGCGCGTCGTTGTCGTCGTCGTCGTTTACGCTTATGTTGTTCGTACCCGACGAGAAAACTTTTTATCTTCGATACAAATCACGCGGATATATACTCATTAACGATGGTACAATTATTAGAACGAGGAACGAGACTTAATCTATGTGGTGTAATTCGTCGTGGGTGTGCTGAGTACAAAACTTTGAGTACACGCGATTAGAAAAAACGTATTTAGATTTGTCGCGCGTGGAACCAGTTTTAGCTCATTCGAATAATCCATAATCGGGATATGAAAATTGTCCAATTGTTTCATTTTCAATTTTCTTTTATCCATTGACATTTATATACAATTGTAATTGATTCGAGAGATTCAAATTTAAGATTTTTAAGATTAATTTGTGTAAAAAATTGTGTAATTTTGGCATTTTGTGTGAATGTTGAATGAATTAATGTAAATTACATTCTTTGAAAATTCTTGACAAATTAATTAAGTAACCATTTCAATGGATATTAATATTAACTTAATTGATTTGTCAATTGGAAATTTAAACCATAAAAAAATTCTTGAATTGCATAAGTCATTTATAGATATAATGTAATTTATACTTGAGATATAATGTAATTTATATTATAGATATAATGTATTTATACTTGATTGAACTTTTTTTGAATGGTATATTCTTTTCTTGCTTGTATTCGCATTAAGAGGGTTTGATCGATATTTTCTTTTTGGAACAATTTTACATATCCCATGGAATATACCGAGATAGATCAATAAATATAGCGATTGAGTTAGATCTAGGAAACGTTATAATTCGAAGAAAACGAGAAATTTTAGGTGGAACGTTCTATTTTCACTCAGCTTCTCGTAACGAGCCATAATTGTTGGAGAGAAATTTACAACGACCAGTTTACGTGGAAAGAAAAAAAGGTGTTGATGGTGGCACGAAACTCAATTTTTTATACTATCTGGCCTGTATTCAGAACGCTCTAGTAGAACAAACTATACTCCTTTACTTTCCGTATAAAAAAAATGATCTTTATAATAATAACAACACGAAATTCTTATTAACTATATTTCTTCCTTAAATATCTCATCATTGATGTTTAACATAAATTATAATTTATATTTATAAAATCTGTCGGAAAATATTTTAAATTCTAAGGAAAAAAAGAAAAAAAAAGAAAAAAAAGAAAGAAAAAAATGATATTATAAGCAATCGTTGAGAGAATTGATAATTAATTCTTAATCAAAATTAGCGATTTAACGTTGATAATTATAATCTATACTCGTTGAGTAAAATCGTATTTGCGTCCAAACTGAAATTATTCTTGTCGTTAATCGAAAAGGAATATATTAAAAAAAAAAAAAATTATATTTGCTATTAATTTAAAAAAAAAAAAAAAAAGAAAGAAAACGTCGTTTTCAAACGCTCGTGAAACAAAAGGTGTATCGTTTAGTGATAATACAGTGTTATGAATACGAGCCTTTAAGTTTATTCCGTCGCTCATAAGACTTCTCGACTACGGTAGCGTATAGTAATTTATTTTCATGCGATTTTTTAAACGATCATTCGAAAGATACATAACGATCATGTCAGAAGAGCTAGGGAACGTCATATCAATCATGCAATCAAACGTTATAAAGAATGAAAAATTAGAGAAAGATAGATGAAAATAAAAGGAAAGAAAAGAACCATACGCGTCTGTTGTCCATGATATAATTGATCATTATTATTGTTATCGTGAATCACTATTATTACTATTATGATTATTCTAATTATTATTAAAAATTAAGAGGAATTACTATTACTATAAAGTGAGTACACCACTAATTAGCTTTTAGCATCGTCGATATTCTATTATAATTATATTGAAGGCGATAAACGACAATTGATTATGAATTGGAATTTATTCAAATACAAGCATACACTTGTACGTATATATACGTATTTCCAATTCTCTCAAGTGTGTGTAGTATGATAAGGAAGAGGAATACGAGGAAAAGAATACACTTTTTTCATCGTACGTTTTTCTAATTGATATAATAATAATAATAATAATAATAACGTTTTGTCTTCAAGAGAAATAAATAGGGGCATAGATGATACGTGTCCCTGGTATCTTTAAAATTTATATTCTCTTCTCTAGACTTTTATGAAGTTGTGAATCATGCATTGTGATATTACCGTATAGCCTACCTATTGTATATTGTTATTACATAATATTACAAAATAGTATGTAATGTCACGCAACTTTCCATTTTTACTTCAACATTTCTATATTTATCTTCATCTCTTCATATGGAATTATTGTAATAAAAATATCAATGAAACCAAACAACATTTTGCACTTCGTTCTATCTTGGCCTGACTCTGTTTCATTATAGATTTAATCATTCATAAAATTTCTTTTTTATATTTTCTTTGAAAAATAAGAAAAAGTTTGTTAATAGTTTTTCAGATTTCGATCAATTGGATTTTTATCTGTGGAAAAAATTTTAAAATATTGTTCATCTTGACAACACGAGAGAATATGACGTAATGATTGCAGCATATGTACCCATAATTCAGCCGGAAATAAAAAATAGAAATACATAATTCCTGAAGAAAACTATTAAATATTGCGTTAATGCAAATAGTTAGTATATCACATATTATTAACATTTCATTTTGGTGTTTGTAAGTAATGTCTATTTATTTTTTGTATTCTTCGTATATTTTTCAATTTTTATACATACTCTCGTATATTTCTGAAGAAATTTAATTATGCATCAGTGTGAATGGTTATCATTCCGATCACAATCTTTTATTATGACGCATGTGAATAAAAAATTTACTTTCTCAATTTTTCGTATATGTTATTTTGATACATTGTTTACATGTATATATATATTGAGAAGATTACTACATCAATGTGAATAGTCATCATTTCGATCACACCATTTTTCATTTTTATATATATAAATAAAAATAACTATTTATTTTCTATATTCTTTATATATTTCCGTCACATTGTAAATGTAAATGTATATTTATACAAATTAAAAAACTAAAAAAAAAAAAAAAACTAGATTGGTTAGATTTCGATTTTATCGTGATTGGTAATCGCGAAGTTGCACCATACATCGATTATGGTGCAAGTTCAGGTGGAATGCGGAGGTTTCACGGATTTGGATCATACATCGAGTATGAGCGGTAAGCTCGAATACCTGGAAAAGTATTCGGTAGCACCTTCTCCCAGCAGAGATTATTACGGTTTGAAAGTGTTCGACGATCAGGTGCTGACGAATAGATCGCGCCCTCGCGATTCTGCCTCGTAACTTCGTTACTTTTACAGGTGATACTCTATCTCTGGCGAATCTCGCACGGTCCCCATAAAACACCGATTGTACAAACCTCCTGTTTCGCAGATTTCAAGCAAGATCATCAACTGCAGGACGAGATACAACGTATCTTCGGTAGAAAATCGATTTTCAATAACCTCTCTCGCGATACTTACGACATTATAAAACCTACGATAACGTTTATTCGATGTTTTTTTAATTATTCGCTATTTCGTACGTTTTTTCATTGATATTTAATAACGTTTTCGTCAATCGTCTTTTATTTTTTTTTCTTTTTAGTACAGGAATTATTTTGATTGTTTCTTTATCATATTTTGATATGATATTTTTAATGCTTGTCGAATGCTTACATCGAATTGTGAAATATTATTAAATTAAAAATTATTAAATTAATTTTAGCATAAAATATTTTTGCAAATTTTTAAATCATTTAATTTTATAAATCATATTTTTTAAATTTATACATCATTACAATTTTCATAGGTGAATATTTTTTAAAACACGTGAGAAATATAACTTCTGGAAGGAATACGTTACTCACCTTGCCAAAGTGTCTGATCAATAAATTGATTAAATATCTCACCGTAAAAGATATCATCAAATTAACATCACTTTCGCACATCTCTAAAGAGGTAACATAAATTTAATATCTAAATTCATTTTCATCCACTTTTTCACTTTTTTTTTAATACTTAGATCTTTGATGATAATTTCGTGTGGGAAGCATTGTACAAGAAGTACAATCCGTTAAAAAAATACAAGTACGAAAATTTATATATTCCGTGCAATTGGAAACAACTATTTCAATTAGAGCAAGTAGAAATTTTCGAGCAAAAAGTAATTTCACTATAGTAATAAAAATAATTTCATTCATTGACATCGCTCATTGACACAAACATCGGCCCTTTCAGATGAATCGTCCTCGTACAACAGCGAGACAGAAGTCGGTTAATTCAAAAATCGAAACTACTATGAAAGGAAATCCAAAAATAGAGAATTTGGCGAAAGCAAACACAAAAATAGAAAACTCCATAAAAGTTTCCACTTCGAATACGAAAATAACGTCAAAGTTTGCTCCATTGGAAAATCAAATTGCAAAGAAGGACACTAATCGTAAAAAGAATATCAATACTCTTTCGAGAAAATTGTCCGATAATTATCTCAATGAACCTACGATCGAAAAAGAAAAAGTGACTTCAGAAAAGAAAACACCTATCATTAAGTCTTTACAGACTATCGGCCAGAAGAATATAAAAATTCTAAGAGATCAGTCGATAATTAATAAACTCGAGTCTAAACGTGAAACAGATAACAAAGATCTGATTAGTAATAAAACTAGCGAGATAAAAATGAATAAATTTCAGAATAAAGTAAAGAAAATCGACACGAAGACTAGCAACGTGAGTATCAAAATGATGGATGATAAGGTTAATAATACAAAGCCAAAAAGTACACCTACACCGAAAATTAAAACTAATGAGAAATCAGTGACACCGAAACTTAAATCGAAAGGCAAAACGAAAAAAATTGGACAAAGCAAGTCCACGATTTTGAGTACAACCTCGGATCTGTTAATCGATAATTCTGCCGTAAAGGACGATAGCTTTGATCTGGCTGATTTGATCGAGGCAAGCTTGAAAAGTATTCGTAGCCCTAGAAGTATGTTCGATTACAACTTTAGTTGCATCGATAAGCCGAAATCTTGTGGCGGCGACACTCTCGCGCAAGAGATCAGTCGAAAGATGTCGGATCATCCGAGGGCGCCGAAGAGCGGTCATGCCAACAAAGCTGCTCTCGATCGATTATCGGAAAAATCTGAACCTCTTACCGCGAAATCGGTCGATTCTGTTAATAAGATTGAACGGGCGCGTGCAATTGCCACACCGAGATATTTAAAAGGGTTAAGTGCAGATTTGAAAAAATCGATAGAGTTGAGTAAAAGTAGGGGTATTATGTCATTAGATGAGAAAGTATTGGATCAATTCGAAAAATATACTTATAATAAATATTCGACACCGAGTATACAGGATGATATAGAACAAAAAAAGTTTACTCCTCGAAAAGAAATGGACAAGATAAACATTTTACGTTCACTGGGAA